ATTATGGAATTTGAAGTAATGAAATTGGAATGAAAAGAACATAGATTGAATAAAAATGGAATTGAGTAAAAGTACATGTGATTTAAAAATATGCTTATATCTATCAATTTTAATATTACTAATGCCTATAACCGTATATTTCAAAACCAATAAGAATATATTCAAAATTTGTGAATGACAAACTATTAACGTGCTATTGCTCATAAATAACCATCTATTTTAATATATTGTAAACTCATAAACCAATTTCTTTGTTTCAAGTATTCTTGCCCTCTTGTGGCATTTTGTTTCCATGAGCACGCTCAAACAAATTACATCATGCAGCATGCTTCTGAGTTAACCCGAAAGTAGGCCGTACCTGTGTTGAATGAATGCTGTAAAACGATTTTTTCTTTTAGGGTACAGCTCGTTCAAGTACATCGGTATTGTCCACGTTGGCACTAGGCTGTTTTCTAATTCACGAATAACAGCGAAAAACCTCTCAAGTAACTGGGGAGCTAAGAAAATTAAAAAGTTTAAATTAGCTTTTGCTAGAACAATGACTGATCCAAAAGTAAACGAAATCTTAGATCCTTTGCGAAAGTCAGTTAAGGAGCAGGTAATTTTTTGCATTTATACTTAGAAATAACGAAGTAATACTAATAGTAATAATCGTAGACTTTCCACAAATTTATCCTAAAATTTATAAGTATGACTATAAGGTTTGTTTATAATTACTCAGACAGTAGCATATGGTGATGTTTTATCCAAATATTCTGGCAAGTTAAATTTAGTAAATGATTTACACGTAACAGAGGATATCTGAACGATAGAAAAATAATCTTGCTTGTTAAACGTTTAACTTTAAAATTGTAATTCTTACAAGTCCTGTTCGTATCATATAGTAAGTTTATTTGTATAAAAATGTAATAATTATGATCCTGTAGCCAAACTGTAATATTAATAAATTAAATCAACTTTCTGATTAAAACACCAATAATAATTTGTAATATTATTGATTTATTCCATGACTCAAGTATGCTACATGTTATGTAACATCATATGTTAATTAACCAAAATTAGGTTTTTTTCACAATATAGTTTTACATAAAGTTTTATGCATTAGATTAAAGTTAAGTTTTAAAAACTAAATGGCATTAACAAAGATGTAAAAGCAGTGAAATGTAAGAAAAATAACCTCTTTTACTTATGAAGTGCATTTTAAAGATATTTGACTCAATACCCGGTGTATATTTAAAAATGACACATGGCTTATTTTTACAAGTTTCATGCTATGAAGAACAACTATGTAGGTTCTAATAAATCTAGAAACCACACCTAAACTCCTGAAAATATTGTTTTTATGTCAGTATATTTTAGAGAGAGGCTATTTGTCATAAACAAGTAATTAACGTTCTAATAAACATTTTTCTTTATTCACTTATTTTTATAACAGTTTATTTTCAACATTTCAGGGCGATATTGTGCGAAGCTTGAAAGAAAATGGTGCAGCTGAACTAGATGTCAAGAAAGCTATTAATGAATTGAAAGCAAGGAAAAAAATGTTGGAAGATAAGGTATGAAAAATTAGATAATTACAGAACTTGTTTTTAATCTAGATTCTTTTTAGAATAGATAAGAAGGGCTTTTCTTTTTAGTTTTTTAACCTTTTACTTTGTAAGTCCATACATTACAGCAATTGTGGCAATGTTATTAGTGATTTCAACAGTGAACAACCTAAATAATATTTGATCATTATATAAATGAGTCCGAGTAATATTTCAATGCTTACTTACGTGTTCTTCATGTGAAATGACTTATTCATTACAACATGATCAATTTATAGGTGGTGAGAGTATGTGGATTAGATCCAAGCAAAGTATGTGTATATCTTTAAAGGAAGCTGTCCAGTTGTTGATGAAACTTGATCAGTTGCTGTTGCAAGTAAACAGTAAAAAATGCCATCTAGGAATTATGGGATTTTTAGATCAAATGATGTAGAAATGTTAACTCTCTATGATGGAGGTATAGAAAAGCTTAAACAATTAGATAACCGCGAACTCAGAATTGAAGAAGTAAATTACAGGATAAAACTTCAAAGGACGTACTGCAGACATAAACCTTTAAGAAGTGAAAAACTATTTCCAAGGGATGAAAGGAAAAGGAAATTGCTTAGTGTGAAAAAATATGGACATTACATCTAAGGCTGTTATGAATCAGCCGTTGATAATATAACCAAGGAGATAATATTCTGAGGATGTGAATACTCGATCTGTGTCGGTTAAGGAGTGCATTATTTAAGGAAACCAGTCCACAAGTTTACAAATTTATTGATGGGAAGCTTTGTAACATATTGATTAACATTGATTCCATAGCTACAATTGTCTAACTTGATCTAGTAATGAAAGCTAGGAAGTTGCTTCCAAAGATGAAGCAAGAAGATGGATTATAAAGTTTGAAGTAATACTCAATGTGGGAAGCTTTGTAACATATTGATTAACATTGATTCCATAGCTACAATTGTCTAACTTGATCTAGTAATGAAAGCTAGGAAGTTGCTTCCAAAGATGAAGCAAGAAGATGGATTATAAAGTTTGAAGTAATACTCAATGTGGGAAGCTTCTGTACACAATGTGTGCCTGTAACTGACATCGAGGAAGAGTGCATATTAGGAATTGACTTCTTGTGGGAATACAGATGTGAGGTTAGACTTGCTTCAAGTAGTTTCACATTCTATGACCAAGAAATCCCTGTACACCACTCGACAGTTGCAGCACTAGAGGTTCAACTTCCACTGACAACAAGGACAGAAGCTCAAGAGAATAAGGGCAGTCAACTTAAAAGTGCATCAGAGTAGAATCTAAGAAGATAGGCAAATTAGGCTAAGTGTCACCCATCATAATTGTCTTTGGAAGTACTTTAGTAAGAGAATGGTCAGGTGATTAGTTTCAGAGAAATCATCTCCGATGTATCATAAGGGATGAAATTTCCAGTCGATTCTCACAACCATCTATCTGAACAGAACATTTTGAGACAAAAGATGGGAAGTAATGTTAATGGAAAAGAAATCATCCCATTTTGCACAGAAACTCAAAAGGTTTTGGTGATTGGACAGTTTAGGGACAGTAGATGAGTAAAAAAAGAAAATATCTTGTCTTTTAACCATACTAAGGATTGTTCTTAAGTTTTACTTATTTTAGCATTTATTTGGTGATTGTATTGTTTAGATTTGTGGATATTAATAGTGTAGGTTTATTATTGTTAATTATGAAAGTTGAAGTATTTATAAAGGATTTCACAAGTCAGGGAATATGCGTATTGTAGCCTATTTTTTAATCTAAATATTTCCAGGAATTTCTGTTGTTTTTATTTTTTAACAGGAATGAAGTTAGACGTAACATGATGGGCATGGCCTTATTGTCTATCAGTTTATTCAAAATTTAACAGAAAAAACCTGAGCCGTATATAAAAACAAGTTAGGTTAGAGTTAATTATTGAATCTGTTAGATAAGATTTGTTGAGTTGTAAGTTTTAAGTTGGTGCTATGAATGCTGAGTTTATGTTTTGACAAAGAATTACAAATGAAATTTCTGTTTAGGCAAAGTTATTTTTAAAGTTAGGATTCTTGGTGAATATTGGTCATGCTAACTCTGGAACTTGAAGAAATAAAACATTTTTATTGTCTTTAACACCTAGTCTGGGAGTCAGTTGGACCAAATTCAGTCATTAAAATATTGATTTTAGGCAGGTTGGCTGGACAGTTCCCTTTTGCGTGAATTGTAGAAGTATTCATGTTCAAGCAGGTACTGCACTTAGCCACTCTATAGTGGTAGGTAATCTTTGTTAAGCCTACCTCGGTCACCTCTATTAACAAAACTTATGAAAACTGTAGAGAAGATGGTTTGATAGAGCTGAGGAAAACGAGGTCTTGTATTAATAATGCTTGGAGACTGTTTGAATGGGTAATGAAGAAAAACTTTAATATAAGTTTAACATAACAGCAAATGTACAATGTTTCAACAAGGCTGATG